ACTTAGCTGTCAAAGCCAAGTTTTTAATTAAGTTGATAATAATGATCAACTACAAACTGGTACATATGTATGTATTAGATTCAATGAGTAATTGACTAATCATATCTATTTTTAAATCACGTGCTTTAATTAACTAATTAGAATGATTGACTATAACTTAGCCGGCTAAGCCGATTTTTAAATATCGACTTAGTCTAGTTGATAAATTTAGATTGACTACAAACACTAATGCTAAGCACCTCATATGCTATCTTCATATTTTAATTAATAATAACAGAACTGAAGTACATATATACTTATCTAATAATTCTGCTATATTACCAAACTACTATATTTTCTCTATATTATATAACTCATACAATATTCTATTAAGATCCAAACTAAGCTTACTAACTACACCACCTATCTCTTTTATTTTATTTATTTTAGCATATCAAAATAATAACCAAAACAAATCTCTTAATCTATTTATTTATATATATAATATTTGTAGATAACACAGATCTTAAGCAACAAATTTGAGAAAATTATTGTCTCGCTAACAACTTGTATATTATAAGTATAACTGAAACAAAGATTTCACAGAATAATACTTATACCAAACTTCAAAAATTAAGAAACTTTACTTACTACTGGTCTTGTACAGATAGCACTAAAGCAGACACAGTATTAATACTAAGAAACTGGCTAAAACCACATATTTATAAAATTTTTACTTTTCCTAATTATATAGTTGCAATAGGACCCTAAACAATCTACAAACAGCTAACAATTTGCAAAAATTACTAAAAATAAAAAGATCTGCAGAAAAAAGCCTGAAATAAGCAAACTAATTACTAAAAATAGAAAGATCTGCAGAAAAAGTAGTCTGAAATAAGCAAATTAAAATCTTACCTGTCTATAGATTGTTTAGGGTCCTATTGTTCTGTCAACAAAACTGACCTTGAACTTTACTGCTAAAACAGAATTGATTTTAAAAAGAATGATCATAATACATCTGTTTATTACTAAAAGCCAGCAGAAATGGGACATGACGATGAAAGAGACAACCTTGATTATTGCCGCCAAAATAGAATTAATATTGTGAAAGATAAAACAAACCTACTGGTTAATAGAATTGAAGTTCAACTAGATGAATCTAGTATATTTGATAACTTTCAAGAATTTGCTAATACAGAACGATCTAATGAAAGAACTGATCTTGGATCCTACAATTCAAATAGAATTGGCATTGAAAAGAATAGCCATAATGTATCTATTTATTACCGAAAGCTTGCAGATATAGATGATATTAATAGAGCACACTTGATTATACTCAGCTATGAGAAAGAATTTGGAGCTAGAAAGATAGAAGTAGATGCTATTAGTAGATCGAAATCGAATAAATTGGATTAAAAAAAGAAAAAAAAAATACAGAATTCATCTACAAGGCTTGAAGGCATCAATAATAATAGAACTGACGATGAAAGTAATCGCGAGATGTTAGTTGGTGATAATGGTAGTAATGAGAAAGTAAACAGTTCTCTACCTAAAAGGTTATTAGAAAAAGAAGTTCTGCAATGTGTATATGAAAAATGGTTAGAGAAAGTTAGTGAATTCCAGATGATTATATGCACAAAAGAAAGACACACCAAAGTAGAGTTAACCGAAGACAGACAAGAAGCACTAGGAAGTTGTGTAGATACCTCTAAAGATAAAAAAACAGTGCTTAAATGGGACTCAAAATCTGCCAAAGGTCTTGACAAAGCTTGCGAATCCTGAAATGAAAAAGTTAGTAAGCTTAGGAGAATTAAAGGCAATCAGAAAATGATGAAGAGTTCGTACCTAACTGATTCTGAAGAACCTGCCCTACTTGCTGATATAGAACCTTCTCTTGGACCTTGTTATCAAAATAAAATTGGTCGAAGAAGATAAGTTGTACATTTGGCATCAAAAATCTGCGAAAAATAGCATTATAAATAGGCAATTTGATCCTGGCGGTTGTTATAAAGATAGAAATGTTTTTAAGAAGAATAGCAAAATCTGAAGTAAAAATATTAATGATTTCAAGTAGATGATTAGTAAACACAAAAAGGAAAGACCAAAGAAAGAAGATTATCAAACGTTAAAAAATGATGAAAGAAAGATAATAAACTTGGATATGGTCTTACGAAAATGGACAATATGTGACCTTTGCACCCTTATCTTTGACTCTGAAGAAACCTGTAAAATAGGTTTAACTTTAACCCAACTTATATAAAAAAAAAATTTTTACCTCGGATTGTATGTGGTCATGCACGACAGTTGTATGCAGGGTTAAAGAGTATATAACAAGGGTTTGATCCTTTATTTTGGATATGGACATGTTTTTTGTATCTGAATTTTTTTTGTGATTTTTTTTATATATTTAGTTTTGAGTTTTTTTTAGTTTTAGTTTAAGTTTTTAGTTTTTTTTTAGTTTTAGTTTAAGTTTTTAGTTTTTTTTTTTGTAATAGTATATAAAAAAAATAAAAAATAAAAAAAAATAAAAAATTTTTTAGTACCTTACTGCACCTTTAAAGAAGAAATATGACCAGATGCCTCTTGAAGACCTGAAGACCTATGTAATAAATTTTTATGTAAGACATAAAAATTGAGTCAGGGAGAATTGTTATGAACAAAACGTAATCTCAAGGCCTTAAAAAAGTAATATGAAAATATGCAAGAATGTTATGCAAAAGAACCGTTATACCACACTGTCCCAGAATTCTAAGAACCTCATATAGATCAATAAATGCGTCAATAAATAAATTAATAGAATTACAGGTAAAAAATAAATGATAGTATAGAAGCCTTTATTTGACTTGCCTTCTTTTTTCATTTTGTCATATATTTCAATAAGAATAGTTGTGAATAAGGAGTAAAGAGTTAGATTAAAACAGGTTGTTTAGCTAAAGTTTAATGGTGGTATAATGAAAAAAGAAAGATGAAAATTAAATTAAGAATTTTTGAATTTGTTTTTTCTTAATCTGTAAATTTGTTATAAAAAAAAGGTCAAAATCCTCTTGAAAAAAAGACAAAAATTAATTAATAAATAATTGAACCCATTCAGAAAAAAAACTAACTGTATACAATTATCCTCTATATAATTAATAAAAAAAAAGCCTTCGTATTAATAAAATACAATGCTCTTTAAGTTTATCCAAGTCATCATAGTGTAATGTAACAAGTTAGACCTTTGGTTAACAAGTTACCTTACTTGACTAAGTGTAAGAAATGTGTTTATATAATTTATAGAAGAAACAGTTTATAAATAAAATAAAATATTGTCGACTTATTACTATGGTGACACTCACAAAGAAAAGGTTATAACCAACTAAGTTTATAGACAAAAGATAGATTTATTAACTCAGATAATACTTAAAAGAATAACACAGATAAAACAAATATATATAACTCAAAAAAAATATAATAATTCCAAATAAATATCACAAAAAAGGGACTTATTCCCAACAAAAATAATATAAAAATACTAAAAATAGGACTTATTTCTAATACAAAGTTATAACAAAAATAAAAATATTACAGAAAAAGGACTTATTCCCAACAAAAATAATATAAAAATACCAAAAATAAGACTTATTCCTAATATAAAATTATAACAAAAATTAAGATATCACAGAAAAGAAACTTATTCTCAACAAAAATAATATAAAAATACTAGAAATAAGACTTATTCTTAATACAAAGTTAAAAACAAAGATGTAATAAAGGGTTTGTTTCAAATATAAAGTATATAATTATAGTGTTATAAAGACCAGAATTTGTAGACCAGCTGTCAAAAACTACTAAAAGACAAGGACTAACTGTCCTCTTGCCTTGAGGAAAGAGGCAGAGTTTATCTATCTTTTTCTAGTATATTAATTTACTATAGAACATAGTAATTAATTAAAGAAGGACACTTTTTATTAATGGAAAGGCACTTTCTACTATAGCATAGGCACCTTTAGATAGTAGATAGGCACTTCCAAATAGTGGATGGACACCTTAGAACGATTAAAATTAGAGATTGTGCACCTTTTACTATGGCAAGAGTACTTTATAGGATAGGCACCTTTTAATATAGAATGAGCACCTTTTAATATAGCAAGAGCACTTTTGCTATTTTGGGTTTGTTTGGCACTGTTTATCCTTAATGTTGTTATTACATCATTTTGGGCTGTCCTGGGGTACCATTTGTGCTACCTCTCTACTTGGAACTTCCTAAGCAGGCTTTTGTATTTCCTGATCTCTTAGATTTATTTAGCTGCTTCATCTAGGATTTATGTAACTCATATGTTATATTATGTTTTACAACCTCCTAATATAAATTGATGAGACTAAGATTACAGATGCTAATCTAATCGATATGTTATACAGTCTGCTGTAATGCATTTTCACAAATTCAAATTTCGTCACCAGTGGGATTTGAACTCTTGTCCTGCTATTTGGGGATGTGACAACTTACCAACTTCACTAAGTCACCACACCCTCTAGAATTCTATATGTAATATTAACAAATTATATATATAATAAGTAAACAAACAAATATATGTTTTTTAGTAATATAGATTAATTAATTATATAATTAGTTTTTATATCCCAGCTGGCTAGAGTTGTTTAAAATTTTTATTTTATAAAAACTAAGATATTTGTAGCCTTATTTATCTAAACAATAAATGCTTAGACATTGTTTAGTTATTGCAGAAGTCTAAGAGAAATGCTGTTTATTATGTAATTTATTTTTATTATAAGGCCAGACCCCTCCACCCTAGTAATAATTTTGATTGGTTAATCTAGATCAATATATCAATACATGATAGACCCACTAACTCTCTTCTACCCTCTTTAAATTATATAATAAACAGCTCTTTCCTAACAGTGTGTACCAGAGGCACTACTGGTCTGCTTATAATTAAACAACCAGAACAAATTTATTGCCTGTCAAGAATTTTGAGTAAAGCACATTATTTACTTGAACAATAAATATCTCTAGTTACTGCTGAGGCCTAACAGTGCCTGTCCAAAAAAATAATACTAAATATACATGGAGGAGAGGAGGATTATAT